TGGCACCCGGTGTTCTCTTTACCAGGATGGTGCCACAGCCCAGGCATTTTCAGCTCAGCTGAGCATGCAGGTGTGCTGGTCAGCTACTCCCGAACACAGAGGTGTGGGATTTCACACATTGGTCCTTATTTAAAGTGACTGGAGAAAGAAGAACTGTTGGCAGGGAAAGTTGTTGTCTTTGGTGGTAGAAGGAGAGCTGATCGTGCTTAAGGGAAGGTTATTTGGAAACAGCAACGAGTGAGAAGGTGGCCCCGGGAACAGGCTGTCGGTGTTACTGCAGGATGGCACACGTGGGGCTCCTACTCCGTTTTTCTCTTTGCCCCTGTCTCTGAGCAGTGGATCTTCGAGTCCTCTAATTGAAGGGAGCAAATAAGATCCTCTTCCTTTACTTCTTCCTATCACCAAGCCAACAGATCCTTATCACCCAGGAAGGGTTTGACTTTGCTGCAAAGTAGTTCTAAAAATGGATGCTAGTGTGGATGTATGGCTCATTTTATCATGTATTCATTTCATCCGTCATCAAAGGTTTAGTCAGTGCTTACTGTCTGGTGGAGCCCTGGTAGCACAGTGGTTATGAGTAGCTGCTAAGCACAATGTCTATAGTTCAAAACCACAAGCTGTTCCCCAGAGAAAATGGCGTTCTATTCTTGCAAAGAGTTAAAGCCTGGGAAACCCACAGGGACAGTTCTCCCAGGTCACTGTGAGTCAGAATCGGCTTGATGTCTGTGAGTTTGTTTTGGTGTGGTTTGGTCTAATGTGCTGCGTGTATAGTGAATGAAGCAGTGGACTGCTGGCTTCAAGTTCAAATCTATCAACACTTCCTTAGGAAACAGATGGGGCTAGCTGCTCCCATAAAGATTTACAGTCTTGGAAACCAGAGGAAGCAGTTCTGCCTTGCCCATGCTGTCACCATGGGTCAGGATCGAGTCAGTGGAGATGGGATTGGCGTGGGTCTAGAAGAGGCTGGGCACCAGGTCATGCTGCTGTGTGCCCTGGTGAGCAAGTCAGCGTGAGATCTCTCCTGTAGCTCACACGTCTGACTTCACCAGCTGAGTCTTGAGGAAGCAATCATGTAGTCACAGGGGTCAGGGAAGGCACCGCACAGGGGCTCATCTTTTAGCTGAGTCTTGAAGGACGAGAAAAGGCATCAGGCAGGAATGGACACTTGCAAAAATAACTGATTCCAAGGGTTTGGAGAAGACTGGCTGTAAGACTGTAAAGTGTCCAGCACATAATAGGTGTTCAGCTTGTGTTGTCCCCTACTTGTCCATGTTTATTGATCCTCCATCATGGGACAGTGGGAGACAGGGCATCAGGACATTGGCAAAGAAGAAACCAAGGTCTGCCGAAGCCAAGCGACTTGCTGAAACCTTGGCAGTGGTGGTTGCCATCGAGCCAATGGCCCAGTGCATGCAGACAAGCAGTGCTGCTCCACAGGGTGTTCAGAGCCGTGGCATTTGGGAAGCACATTGCCTGGCCTGCTTTCCCAGGTGCCTATGGGGGGTGTGAGCTACCTACTATTTGGCTAGTAGTTGAGCACTTTAACTGTTTGTGCCACCCTGGTAGATGCCTGGAATTAGAGCTCCAAAGTCTTGAGTTTCCACTTGACACTGAGGTGTCACCTTTGATTCTGGAGGCTGACTTGTGCCCCCACAGATGACCTAGCACCTGGGCCAGGTCTGGGCCGTAGCCTCCAGGTCTGGTGCCTCCCCAGACTCCCCTGGGGGGACAGAGGAATCAGGCTTTAGGAGAGGTTTGGGTTTTACACTCACTCACTTCTGCTAGAGCAAGGGAGCCCTTTACAACTTTCTTCACTTCATCAGAGGTCTCTCATAGGGGAGGCCCTTCGGTGGGAATCTTCTCTTGGGCTTCCCAGGAGGCAAAAGCATGGGGACTGGATAGTAAGGTGAGGGAGCTAGTGGCTCAAAAGGAAGAGTCTGGAGCCACACTACCTGGACTGGAATCCCACATTGGTTTCCAACTATCTGAGTGACCGTGTTCAAGTTGCTTTTGTACGTCCTCTATTGCTGTATATCAGATCACTATAAAATTAATAGCCCCAAAATCAAAAACAAAAAACTCTCTCTATATATCTATATCTATAGATAGAGATATATGTGTGTGTGCATGTGTGTGTGTACATGTACACATACATATATATAATCGTATTCTCTGATTTGACCAGGCTCAGCTGGGTGGCTATTCTGTTGGTTTGGCTGGGGTTTCAGTCACCTAGGGGTCTTGACCGAGCTGACATCAAGATGGCTCGCTCTGTGACTTGTCAGCTTTCCCTGAGGATCTTAGATGGGGTTACTGACCAGAGCACCCCTGTGATTTCCTCTCTTGGGCAAGGTTGAGCACCTGAAATCCCCACGTGCTGAGGAACCAGGAGAGGAAGCTTGGCTGTAAACCACAGGTGATATGTGCTTTGGCCTGAAAGAGTCTGGCAGGCGTTTAACGAGTTTGCCCTTCCTTTATCATTGTGCAGTTACTGAGGGGCCTGGTCTGGCTGTCCAGGTTTGTTCAATAAACTGGAAAGTTCAGGTGCCCTTTATCCAGCCTGCAGTCGACCTCGTGGAAGCATCAGTGTCTCCCAGCGTGGCGTGGTCAGTGGTGCCACATAGTTAGACGGAAAGCCACGCAGCTCTCTGTTCCTCCTCATTTGAAAGTGATGCTATCTCACACACCATCCTGGATCATCCTGCCTTCCAAACTGAAGGACATGCCTTCCGTGGAAGCTCTGTTTGCGTTCAGTCTGAAAGGAGGTGGCAGCTAGAGAGGGTGGGGACATGGGAAATGGCTCAAACCTGCTTACTCGCTCCTCACACTGCGTGGACAGGAAGCTGAGGGGTGCTTGAGTCCTGCCCCAGAGCAGTGGGTTCCGAGGGGCAGTGGTGCACCTCCTTCGCCCTCAGGCCTCCGATGCAGAGTGTGGAAGCCAGGCTTCCCCCTGTCTACCAAGAGGCCTGGGCTGGGATAGGAAAAAGGCTACAGAATGCTAAGGAGCACAGCTAAGTTAGCATGCAGTGTGTCTGCGTAAGGTTCCACAGTGAATAGGTCTTCATTGTAGAAGGTGCACAATACAAATCCACTGTACTTCTCTGTCAGGGATCGCCCGGGGTCACCGTTCCAATGTATTTCATTCTAACCTCATGGAGACACACACACATACACACACGCGCGCGCGCGCAAGCGAGATGAGCTGTCTCCCCTCTGCCATTAACAATTTATCAAAAGGATTCTGAAAGAGATGGTACTTTGATCTCCCACAGCTAAAGGAGCCTCAGCAATGCTGTTGGGTTATATGTTGAACTAAAACAAGCAAACAAAAGAACTCACTGCCACGGAGTCAATGCCGACTCACGGCGACCCTACAGGACAGAATAGAGCTGCCCCTGTGGCCTTACACGAGTGGAAAACCTCCTCTCTCCTACTAACATACAGTTGGTGGTTCAACCCCACCAGCTGCTCTAAGGAAAAAGATGAGGCTGTTTACAGTCTGAAAAGCCTCAGAGGGGGTCACTGTGGGTCGGAGCAGACCTGCTGGCAGAGGGGAATACATTAATTTACAAACTTGTGGACGTTGGCTTCTCTTTTCCCTTCTGTGAGAAACATCATTCAAATCACAGACACTGTTGGTTTCCGCTTGGGAACTGGCAGATCAATATAAACCCCTGACCTGGGCCAGTCCCCATGGGTCTCTGGAGAGAGAACTGGGGTGGGCTGCCTTATCTCGTATGAGTTTACCAAAGGGCTATCACAGGGTTTTAACTGCTAGACCTTCAAGAATCCAATCTGTACTTACTTTAGCAAGAGAGAGGCCTTTAGTGTTTGATTTTGCAAAATTGAGTGCCCAGACCTTGAGATAATTCAGGGGGGTGGGGGGGCTTGCTCATAGCTACCGTGAAAGCATTTTCTCCCCTAGTTCGCAAACCGCCTTTCCTGTACCTCAATAGCTGAGTACTATGGCGTTAACAATCTTTACAGAGCTTCGCCTACATTCCCCACCCACACTTTCTTAATTCATAGGTCCCCACATTCCATCCCCCAGGGGCCTGAACTCTAGCAGTTAGCAAATGGTGCCCTGGTTACTTAGTAACCCCCGACTCTTCACTCTCAGTTTGCTGAAGATGGACCAGCCTGGTACCCGACTGGTCCACCCCCTTCTCTGCTCTGCTGGATCTCCCTTGTCTGGATCCAAATTCAAGAGCCTATCCCCCTCTGATTGGGCGCGTCATACAAAGGGCGCTCATGTAGGGTATGTTGGTAATTGCTGTATGCTGGGATTGCAAAGCCTTATGAGAGCTGTGAGAACTGAGCTCCCTCCCCAGGGCCCTGAGGACCCAGAGGGCATCTCTCACACAGCTGGGTGCCTGTCCACGCAAACACTTAGTTCCAAGGATTGACATCAGGATACTGAGCAGGACAGTGGTGG